ACCTCGCGGCTTGCGCCATGCTTTTTCCATCGATAGGATGAGCAACATCCAATGAATCTTCGGGTAGAACATGGAAATATACACTACCTGGTTGAATATGGCCAAACGCATCATGGCACTTCCAGTGATAGGATGAGCAAAATCGTACGACTCTTCCCCAAGAACATGGAAATATTCACTACCTGCTTGAACATGGCCGACAAAACCGTAGCCGAAAAAGAGCCCGTGCATAAAGTCGCGCCGACACCAACCCCCCCACCGCGCGGCGCAAAAAAAAACGGTACCGAAAAAAGAGCCCGCTGGCCACCCGCAGGCAACCCGACTCGACCCCCCGGCCTCACCTAACCGGCACGCAGTCTGCCTTTGGGCCTGCCACGAGTCCCACACCAGGGAACCGGGTCTCGCGTGGGACCGTCACGCGAGACCCGCGTCTTCCTTTATATGTATAGAGAGATGAGGTTGCTACCCTCAACACTATCCTTGTCCTCAAACTGTGTGTCGTCCACTAAGTCGGAGTAATCATCGATCTTAGTTTTATTCCCTTCGGAATCAACCATCATCAATCGACTACCTTTTTTTTTTCACTCTTGTGGACTCTTCTTCTTTCTTCAGTCTGTAGGGGTTTGTTGGCTTCCTCCTAGCCTAACCTCAAAGTCTAGGGCCTTCTTGTTGAAGGAGTCCAGAGTGTGATATTTGATGCTGGCTTCACTGACCAGCAGGTTCTTGACGTCTGGGGGAAGACATCTAAGATGCATGGTCATAAAGACCTGTGGATCGTAGCGCACGACGGGTACGACAATGAGACGCTCCATGACAGAGGTAAGCTCACGCGCGGACTTGTACTTCTTAGTATTATGTCGGGTCAACGCGTCAGTGGCCTGCTGGGCCTGCTAGGCCTGCTGCGGGTTGTGCCATCGCGTTTCTACCAGTTCCATGAAGCTCTGAAGAGTATGGGTCTTAGCCCAATTATTCATGCGCCTGCCGAACCCTTTCAAGGCTACTAATCCATCTAGCCATCGTGTTGTTCAACCCTCCAAATATGAGGCGACAGTGACCACCTCTTCCTCTACCAGTGTCCTCTTTGCCCTGACCCACATTGGAACCATTCTCAACCAAGTGTCAAGAGCCTCAAGCCTCATTGTGACGGGGTTGAGGCAACGAGGCTGGGAGAGAGAGGGAGAGAGTGAGAGCACGCACACACACACTCAACTCAACGCAGACTCGACACGACTCAACGGACGCAGACACGAAGTGGCAAAGTCGCAAAGTCGAAGTCTTGGATTTCCGAACACAACGTCGAAGCAAGTCACACTTAGTAAGTACAACAGAAAATTGGTACGAGACTGCTCCCCGTACCGTACGGGCAGCAGGTATAAGTACCGGTGACACCTACGGTACCAGGGGCATTTCTGCAAAGGCCCGGAGGGCAGAACTGAAAAATGCGGTATTTGAAAGTGGCGCCCGAATTGCAGCATGGCGCCAGTTGTCCAAAATCCTACGGTACCAAAGGAGGGGTTTGGAAAAAGGGTGCCAGGCCGAAAATGGGATGCAGCCGAAACAGCAAAAAGATAGACCACGGATCGAGCCCTGGCGGAGTCCGTAACACTATCCCCTCCCTCTAGAAGGCGACGTCCCGGCTGCCAAAAATCATGAAGCAATGCTGCCTCATGGGGCCGATCACTGGTTAACAAGTCGAAAGGGAAGAGGGGTATAATGTGTGTGGCATGGGCTGCGGGAGTAAGAGGGCACAGGGTTTGATACCGGTGAACAGGGTTGTCCTACTGATGAACTAGGGGCGGTTGCAGGGAACAGGGTAGTCCTACAAATGAACTAAAGGGACGGCAGGGAGCAGGGTAGTCATACTGATAAACTAAGGGGACTGCATGGTTTGCTCGGTTAAGGGGGAACATAGTTCAGGGAACAGGGAACATACTGATGAACTAAGGGGACTGCATGGTTTGCTCAGTTAAGGGAGAACATAGTTCAGGGAACAGGGAACTTCTATTGATGTTATACTGGGTAAGGGAAACAATGTTCAGGAAAATCGGGTAGTTCTATTGATGTTCTAGTGCGTACGGGGAACAATGGTTAGGGAAACAAGGATCTGCTAATGATGTTCTACAGGATTGTCAAAGTTAGGAAAAATAAAAATGAAAATGTTTGTTCAGGATGCAAGGGCTGGTGTGTCCGAAGGAGTCGGAAGCAGAATCTCATGTAGGAACGAAGTGTCCAAGTGTCTTGAAAGGGGGTCTGCAGCGGTCTTGATCAGGTCTTTGGAGTAGGTGGTAGAAGCGGTCTTCAGCGGCTGCGACAAGTAGAAGTCCAAGAAGCGTAGTAGTAGTTCAAATGTCAAAGTCCAAGTGCTAGGGTGTGTTCGGTACACAAACTGCAATGAGGTCTGATCTGGAAGCAAGGAAGTCGCAGACTGATGCAAAGATCCATGTCACAAGTTGCTGCTCCAGTAAGTCCGCGAGTCGGGATGCCGRCCRATGAAACAGCATGGTGGCCAAACCAGCTGCATAATCTCCATGAACAGTGAGCCAGCAGGCCATCGTCCTCATGCGCTTGCCATTAGATCCTTTATCGTTGGTGTCACGCAGGTTCACAAGCATTGGACAAGAGAGACAAGGTAGTGGAGAGGATAGATGGGACAAGGCTAGGCGAGGACAAGGGCAGATCAGACATAAGGAATCAGGGTCAAGGGGAGGGTGAACTGGGTTCAAGGGTGTGTGTAGAGCGGGGTTGCGAGGTTGTAGCAGGGTTTATACAGGGGTTTAGGGTTGAGAGTAGAAGAGCGGGTGCCAATGGGATGCTCAACCGACGAGATAGCAGACTTCGTCGGGAGGGGGGCAGGCGGAGTAGATTGTGTCGCCCGGGGGTCGTCCGATGGGATGTGTGTCACCGAAGGGGGGGTAGGCAGACGGATAGTCAATGCCAAGTGAGCCACCGGTGGAGGAGAGATCGTCAGATTTGCCAGACAAGTGGTCGATGCCTGGGGAGGATTGCAAGAGACAGGGGGACAGTGTTCAGGTGGGGGAGGGCCCGACTGTCGTGGTGGAGAAAGAATTGGGAGTAGAAGGGCCGGGTCCCGTGGAGCGAGGGGCCGGTCGAGTAAAATGGTTAGCGTTGGGGCAGTTGGTCTATTGATGACCTAATTGGCCGCAACGAAAACACTTGTTGCGTTCCTGGAGGTATATGCGTTCTGCGGGTGCGAGTTTTTGGAGAGGACGGGGTGGAGAGGCAGAGGGCGGTCGGGAGGCATGATCCTGGCGTTCCATCCGCATAAGGTGGGCGGTCTGGAGGTCCTCAATGGTGAATTGGGAGGGGTCGAGAGAGGCAGTGTCGAAGTCGTCATCGGAGGTGGGTGGAGTGGTGTCGTTATGGAAAACGCGGGGCGCGGGCGCGGGCGCGGATTGGTGATGGGGGTGGAGGAGTCGATCATGGTGAAGCATGCGAGAGAGGAGGTCAGCAAGGGGCATGTCGGGTTCGTGGGCGAGGGCGGTTGCAAGGTCTTTGTGGCATACTGTTTGATGCGGGAGATGAACGCAAAGTCGGGAATGACGGTGGTGGGGAGGTGGTGGCGGGGGGAGCGGACATATTGGACGAAGCGGTCTGTGGGACCGGTCTGGCTGAGGTGGTAGAATTGTTCAAGGTGGTCATCAATGGTTTTCTGGGGGCGAAAGGTGGCAGTGAGAAGGTTGGCCCATTGGAGGAAGGAGTGACGTGGTCCTCCGGAGGCTCGACGGTTGCTGACTTCAGCCATCCACCATTTGGCGACATTGTCGAGGAGGCGGGAGGTGGCAATGGGGAGCCAGTGGGCAAGGGGCATGTGGTGGAGGTTGAAGGGTTGGTGGATGTGGTGGTAGAGGTGGTAGGAGTGGAGGAGGTCGGCGAGGGGGTGTTGCTGGAGGCGGTTATGGAGGAGGGAGTGGTTTGCGCTGTGGAGGAGGGAGTGTTTTGCGTTGTGGAGGAGGGAGGTGCGGCCGTGGTGACGACCGTGATGGAGCTTTGAGCGTGGTGACGTGGTCGGACACGGACGACATGGTGGCCTTTATGTCATCTAGAGAGGCGGTGACGGAGGTTTGAAAGGTGTTGAGTGCGTGGAGGATGGTGGAGAGGTCGGGGGTGGCGGTGTTTGCTGTGGTTGAACGCCAACCAGGTTGTGGCCGATGCTATCGACCGAGTCGGTGCGGATGTCAGACATGTTGATGGAGGATGCGGTCATATCGGGGGAAGAGGGGGTGGAGGACGCGGCCGAAACGGACGTGGAGGATGACGCAGCAGCGGTGGCGACGGCAGCAGCGACGGCGTCAGCAGCGGCGCTTTGGGAGTTCTTGGTTTGGCGCGGTGGCATGTGGAGATAGGGGGGACAATTCCTATTTACAAGAATAGAGCGTAAATTAATTTGAATTTATCCGAAACTCATTCGCAAGTGTATTTTTCAAGAAAATACGAAAGCAAAATTTTCAGGAATTTTCAAATGAAGAAAAAAAAAATTCATTCCGAGAAAAATAAATTCCGACGAAATTTATTCGGATTTACGTTCGGGGTAAAATTTTATAATTTCAAAAAGGGGTGATTAATTCCGAGTAAAAGAGATTAATTCAGTAGAGAATTAATCGAGTTTAGTCGCAATTAATTAAGGAGTTCAAAGAAAAAAGAAGGGAAGTACTTCTGAACAAAAAGAGAATTTCAAAAAAGAATTGCGAAATAGAATTTTTCGAATTTCAAAAAAAATTGCAAAAAGGAAATTTATGAATTAAAATATATGAGAAAAATATGTACAGATTGAGCCCTCAAGAAGGGGCCTTGCCATGATGTACATGTTCTGGGCTAAGGCCCCAACAAGCCTAGTGCCCGCCCTAAGTGAAGGCGGCCCAGCAAATCAACAAGAGCCCTCTATGCAAACATTTCACGAAGTGGGGTCTATACAATTGCAGCACGCCAGTTGGTTGGAGTGCACCGAGTCAGGGATTTCAGCAAAAGCTGAAATGCCCAGGGCCTTTGAGTTAGTTAGGCCCTGGGCACTCGAACGTGAGGCCGACAATGCATGCTGGGTAGAGAGGCCGAAATGCCAAAGGGAAAATCGGCCCACTACCTGAATCTGGCCGCAGGCCTTGATGAGAGAGGCGCAACTGCATTGCTYCRRGGCCCAACTGCATCGRGTAGGCTTCAGCCTCTGGGTCCCGGTCGCAGGCTGAAGGGAGGCCGCCCACWTGCTGCATTGGCATATAGGCAAGCAGGGCGAGGCAGCAGGGATCTTGGCCAATGCTGGCACTTGYGGGCACGCTGCGCGGATGCATGTGTGCTGCGCTGTGCRAGGCARTGCTGCGCTAAGACAAGCAGGCCAGCGCTAGGCGGTAGGGCGCTGCCTGCATGCAGGGCACTGGCGGCCATAGTCGGGCCGCATGAGGGYGCAGGGGAGGTGAGGGCGAAGGTGGTACTTCGGAGGTGAAGGGCGCTGTGTGGGTAACAAGGGAGABTGTGGGGAAGAKGACACGTACCTGGTGATGGTGGAGGTCGGCATTGGTGTTGACATCATCACTCGTTGGTAGTCAAGTTGTCTGGTTGCTTTTCATTGCTGTAGTTGTAGGATAGCTGTAGAGTAGATAGGGCGCCTGGCGCCATTCACAAAAGAGAGCTACATTTGGGTTATGCTGTTGGTGTTGCCCTGTTGGGCATGGACATTGACTCACGATTCTTCTGTATCATTCTCAATTGGATGGTTACTCGGTTCCATGTGCTATCTGCTTTGGCTTTGACCACATGGACTTCAGTGTGATTTTGTATTCTGGATTTCTGTGCGTCGTCCATACTCATGTTCCTTGCAAATAATTAATTAGAATTATTTTTGAATGTCCAAAAGAAATATCAAAAAAGAATTTAATTAGTTCTAACCGAATTTAACGTATTTCCAAAATTTTCGAAAAAGAATGAAGTACAAGTAGTTGCGAATTTCGAAAAAGAAATCTTGAGAAAGAATTGATTAATCCAAACGAAAAGAATTTAATTAATTTTGAAATATTTTTGAATTACAAAAATTCCTAGGCTACCAGCCCGGGTCCCCGATGGCCAGCCCGTGCAAGGACCAGGGAAGGCCCCAGCAAAAAAAAAAAAAAAAAAAAAAAAAAAATCCAAAAAATCCCAAAAAAAAACAATGTTATGCAGAAAAATACACTGAACAACGTTTGCCTCAGGGTCACATCGAAATTCCTCACCAAATTTAGAATAAAAATTAAAATTGAAAAATATTATTTTATTTTTATTATTTTATTTTTATTATTTTATTTTTATTAATTTTTTTTTTTTTGGCCCGGCCGGGCAAGTGACCCCAGGCCACTCTGGTAGCCTAGAAAAATTCCGAAAAACAATTAATTAAAATTATTTTCGTAATTTCAACAAAAAAAAAAACGAAAAAAAATTAAGTAGAAATGTTTTTGAAAAAGAAATGTCGAAAGAAAAAAAAAGGATTTAATTAATTGTAAAATGTTTTCGAATTACAAAAATTTTGGAAAAGAATAAAGTAAAATTCTTTTTCGAATTTCGAAGAAGAAATGCCGAGAGAGAGTGATTAATCGTACATATTTTCGAAAAAAGAAAATATTTTTGAAAAAGAAATGTCGAGAAAGATATTTAATTAAGTATTTACAAGAATTTCAAATGGATTCTAAAAAAAAAACTAAAAAAATGGATAAAGGAATATGCAAGGAACATGAATGTGGACGAAGCACAGAAATCCAAATTGCATAATCACACTAAGTCCAAGTAGTCAAAGCAAGAGCAGATAGCACAATGGAACCAAGTAACCATCCATTTGAGAACGATACAGCAGAATCGTGAGTCAATGTCCAAGCCCAATCGGGCAACACCAACAGCAT